AAAATATATTTGACAAGTAATAAATTATTAAAAATAGGATAAAAATAAGAAATGTGGATGATACCAAAAAAGGAAAACAAATAGATTATGATTATTATTAATAATAATAATATTACATTTTACAGCGTTTCAGCATCCTATTTCCCGGACTGTATATACAGCTCGATGGCAGAAGGTGGCGCCATTGGGCTGATATAAAAGTCAGGCTGAGCCATGCTGTGTGTCTGGGAGATCATTGAGTAGACAGTCATCATTGTATATAGAGCCAGTGAGATTTTCATCACCGAGCAACACTCAGCGTTCCCATCCATGGAATGATCTACACGGCTCAGAAATCCATTTGCTGAGTGAAATGCAATCAGAAATCTTCCTTTCATTGCTTTCATTCGGCTGTCGGATTCGTCTTGTAGTGCAGGCCCGACTGTATAAGCGGGCGTTATTTGCGCCCAGTCTGGCGCTCCTTTCTAAAGCAGGCGCTAATAGCGCCGCATGTTGCTGCTTTGTACGAATGGATGCTTGCATACGAATACGAAACGAACTTCCACTAAGACGATTTACTTGTATATATTGCATCTTCTCATTTATTTCAACAACGCTTAATGAATATTTCTGACCCCATCCTGATCACCATGCTGCCCCTGCTTTCTATACAATATTATATCCGCAATGATTTATACAGCATGGTGGAACGGTGTAGTGCAGTATAGAAGAACCTTCTATAGGTCCGATCTTTATATGCGTCACATATTTCAAAGTTCAGAGAGGAAGTGTCTGCATCTCCCTACAGCAGAGTATCTCGATCCATCCTTCATGTATATTACCCGGGGTTATATAGGATTAGCTGCTTATAGGGAATACTATGGAAATGAATAAGGGAACCCTAGCTCCTTTATTTTTATTTATTGCAAAGTTCTAGAAATCACTGCGTGCTCTATCATTTCTTGTACTGTGATCCCATGGGTGGAAGATAATGTATGTCCCCTGCTATCAGTCCAATTCCTGTGAGATAATCTGCCCAATAATAGTAATTTCTGTGCCCCATGGAGTCATTTCTGTGCCCCATGGAGTCATTTCTGTACGCCATGGAGTCATTTCTGTACCCTATGGAGTCATTTCTGTACCCTATGGAGTCATTTCTGTACCCCATGGAGTCATTTCTGTACCTCATGGAGTCATTTCTGTGCCCCATGGAGTCATTTCTGTACCCTATGGAGTAATTTCTGTACCCCATGGAGTCATTTCTGTACCTCATGGAGTCATTTCTGTGCCCCATGGAGTCATTTCTGTACCCTATGGAGTCATTTCTGTGCCCCATGGAGTCATTTCTGTACCGCATCCGTATACCCCATGGAGTCATTTCCTACCCATGGAGTCATTTCTGTACCCTATGGAGGGTCCGATCATTGTACAGCTATACTATGGATGATAAAAAGATTAACATCGCTTGTATTTAAAGCTTATCACTGTCGGCTAAGCTGATATTCAGACAGGACACAAAATAATTATTATACAAGATTTATAATAATCAAATATTGATTACCTATATTATTGTATTATACCAATACGAGGTATTAGAGATCTATATGCCTAGTCTAAACTAGTCTTGAGTTTACAAGCATGAGGGGTCAGACCCCATCAGTAAACAGTTCACTATAGAATGTTCACGTTGACACAGACATGACATTACATGAAAAATAATCAACTTTGTAAATAATATTGATTACCTATAAGATTGTATTATACCATTACAAGGTCTTAGAGATCTATATGTCCAGTCTAGTGTTTGTAATCATGATGGGTTAGGTCCCAACAATAAACAATCCTTAATGGAATGTTTACATTGACATAGACATGGCATTACATCAAAATTATCAACTTTGTAACTATTATTAGCTATATTATTGTATTATACCTATACGAGGTGTTAGAGATCTATTGACATGACATAAAAATAATCAAGTTTGTGAATATTATTTATTAGCTATATTAGTTTATTATAGTTACAAGGTATATAGAGATCTATGCCCAGTCTAGACCAGTCTTGTGTTTATAAGCATGGGGGATCAGACCCCACTAGTAAACATTTTATTATAGAATGTTCATATGGACATGACATGACATGACATGACATCAAAATAATAAATAATATATTATTTTATTTTATTATGCCTATACAAGGTATTAGACATCTACTATGTCCAGTCTAGTGTTTTTTTTTTAACCACACAGGTCTGACTCCAACAGTAAATAATTAATTATACAATGTTCACATAGACATGATATTACATCAAAATAATCAGATTTGTAAATAAAATTGATTACCTATATTATTGTATTATACCAATACAAAGTATTAGAGATCTATATGCCCAGTGTAGACAAGTCTTGAGTTTATAAGCATGCATGGGGGTCAGACTTCAACAGTAAACAATTATAGAATGTTCACATGGTCATGTGATTGCAGTTTTGATCTGACAACAAGCAATATTTAAAGATTCTCAGTTGTCTCCAGAGGTAACCTCAGACCCCGTATAACTGTAAGAAAACAATACAAAGGGTGAGATGATTTACAAGGTTGATTATTTTGCTGCCCTGGCTCAATAAATCGGTTTAGGCATACATTGTATAAAGATGATATTACCCTTTAATCGATAAACACATTTATTTACATAGTTTACATATTGTACTAAAATGTCCTTATTAATAGAACTGGAAGAAGGAATTCGATCCCCTATCTGTACTGTATACTGTGTGCAGAAAATTGGGGGGCTGGACTGTTATGTCAAACGAAGAGATACGAATTAGTTCAAGGGGGACTCCAAATGCTTCTTAATGGTCATCATCCAGTAAATGACTGGCACCCGATTCATGCCAATCACACAGTTCTGGGGATTAGAAGTGCCCCAATTGACCCCAGCTGGAGGTGAGCGCCGAGCTCAGTGACTGGGCGCTGCCTGGGTGGCACAGTTTAACTACAAGACCAAAATATTTACTCCATGCTCCGCTCAATATGTCAAAACTGGAAACACTTGGCGAATAGAGGACGAAATGATATGAACAGGGTCTGGGAGGTTTAAATTCTCAGTTATAGGCTTCTCAAGCCGGCATCAGTGCAGATCTGCAGGAAACCCCTGTTTGAGCACATGAGAGCTAGTTACTATCACTGAGAAGTGTCATAAATCCGAAAATTTACTGCACCCTCCCTCTAAATAAAATTCTGTCCACTGTACCAACATTATACCCAACAACATCATCAATGATCTGTATAGAAATGTCTGTAATGTTCATATTGTGATTAGTACGATCTACAAATGATCCCATGCTAGGACTGAATTTCAGAGATACAGTACTATGCCACGTGTGTATATATGTTCATGATACATTTGAAAAAAACTTATATACATATATATATAAGAAAGAAAGAAAGAAAGAAAGAAAGAAAGAAAGAAAGAAAGATAGTGAGATCTTACTGTGTGCAAAAAAATCATGTAAGTATCTATCTATTTAGATATATATAGATCTTTCCTTGTTTAATATATTCATTATATATTTAATATATTCAAAAGTATCTATATCTAAATATCTTACTTTGTGTAATATGTTCATATAAGCATAATATCTATCTATCTATCTATCTATCTATCTATCTATCTATCTATCTATCTATCTATCTATCTAGCTATCTAGCTATCTATCTATCTATCTATCTATATTCATATGAATATATTGCACAAATTATATAGGTACTCTTGAATATATTAAACAATTAAACAATGTAGGATCTCTCTCTCTAGATATACTGTATACTAATTTAATTATATTGCTAAAAGTAATCTCTCTCTCTCTCTCTCTCTCTCTCTCTCTCTCTCTCTCTCTCTCTCTCTCTTTCTATATAGATAGATACTCATGGATACTTTGCACAGAGTATTCTCTGTCTCTCTCTCTCTCTACCTCTCTCTCTACAGATACACACATGAATATATTGCACAGAGCGAGATCTCTCTCTCTCTCTCTCTCTCTCTCTCTCTCTCTCTCTCTCTCCAGAGAGATCTCTCCAGATGTTCATATATATATATATATTGCACAGAATAGGGTATATGTCTCTCTCTAACTTTCTTTCTCTATAGATGGATACTAATATGAATATATATTGCACAAAGTATTTCTTTAGCCCATCAACCCAACAATCCAGAAAAATAAGAACAAACAATACTGATACAGAGTGATATTTATATAACACATCTCTCTCTAAAGACGATGATGTCATGTGTACTCGTCTCCATAAGAAGCAAGTGCACAGTGTACATTTCACTAATACACGATCACATCAGAGGTGAAATTGCTTTAATAGGCGATGCAGAAATCCTGCTACACAAAACGCAGCAGAGAGCACAAATCAAACGGCATCACTCCCTATTCTTACCACTACAAAAGCAATACAATGTAGCATGGCAGCTGGCCAATGTATCTCCTGCACATGATTTATATCATTTTATATGTATACCTTCTTTCTTGTACAGGGATCAGGCAGTCACAGGCTTGCACTGAGTGGTCTGATCTCCTTGCCTCGCTCACTTCTTGCTGTCAGCTATAAGCTGTCTCTTTTTT